TTGAGTCCTTTTGCTTTGGTTCATTCAGATGTTTGGGGTCTGATTAAAATACAGTCTTATAATGGTTACAAGTATTTTGTCACTTTTATTGATGATTGTTCAAGGATGACATGGATTTATTTAATGAAAGAAAGGAGTGAATTATTTTCCATTTTTCAAAAATTCCATTCTGAAATGCATACATAATTTTGTGTTCCAATCAAAGTTCTTCGTTCAGATAACAGTCGTGAATACTTTCTTACTTCCTTTCAACAGTATTTAGAACAGCATGGCATCATTCATCAAACTTCATGTGCATCCACTCCTTAGCTAAATGGGGTGACTGAACAAAAGAACCGTCATCTCCTTGAAACTGCTCGATCTATTCTACATCATATGAGTGTTCCTAAACGATTTTGGAGTGATGTTGTACTTACTACTTGTTTCCTTATTAATCGGATGCCCTCCTTCATTCATCATGGTCGGTCTCCCTTTTCTATTTTGTTCCCCACCTTGTCTCCCTTTCCATTAACACCCCAAGTCTTTGGTTGTGTGTGCTTTGTTCACAATCTGAGTCCTGGGATAGACAAGCTGGATGCACGCTCTATTAAGTGTGTCTTTCTTGGCTACTCTCGGACCCAGAAAGGGTATGAGTGTTACAATCCTATTACTCGGAAGTGCTAGGTCTGTCCTGATGTCACCTTTTTTGAGTCTGTCCCTTCTTCTTGGGACCTGAAGTATCGGTATCTCCACATTTGCTTCCTCTTCCTCTTCTAGTCCGTGATCCCGTTCCGGTTGTTCTAGTTGGGGCTGACCCTTGACCTCCTCTAGTGCAGATCCCTACTGAACGACCTCGATCCGGCACGTGTATACTCATTGACAGACACCGTCTCCTCCTCCAGCTTCTACGTTGTCTGCAGATCCTGTTGTTGCTCCTGTCCCAAAACCTTCAAGACTTGATCTTCCCATTGCTTTACAGAAAGGTAAATGTAGTTGTACCCTTCATCCTATTTCCAATTTTGTTTCAATCTCTCACCTTTCCGCTTCACATTGCCAGTTTGTTTCACTGTTGTCATATATTTCTATACCTAAGAATGTCCAGGAGGCTCTTACCTCACCTAGGTGGCGGCAGGCAATGGAGGAGGAACTCTTTGCCCTTCAGCATACCCAAATGTGGGAGTTCACTACTCTTCCTCCCAATAAGCATGTTGTGGGTTGTAAATGGGTCTATACTATTAAATACTTGCCGGATGGTAGTGTGGAGCGTCTGAAGGCCAGACTTGTTGCTAAAGGTTATTCACAGTTGTATGGGGTGGACTATATGGAGACCTTCTCTCCAGTGTCTAAGATTGGCTCTGTCCTTGTCTTAATTTCCCTGTCAGTTATGTATGATTGGCCCTTATTTCAACTTGACATTAAA